GCTGGACACTAAAGAAGGAGAAAACAGCTTGTTGGCCAGGGAGAGAGACCAAAGTGGAAAGAATGTGCAGCAGGTTAGAATGATTAGGGACAGAGACAAAAATCTACTAACGAGTTAATGTGCTGAGAAGATGAAAGGAGTAGTTTGAGCAGCCGATGAATGAAGACAATGAGAGAGAGGAGCATGAATGGAAGGAAACTTGTGAATAATGAAGTGCAGCTAATTAGTAAGGAGGGAAATAAAGGTGGCTATGAAGGAAATGAATACTGGAAAGGCAGATGGTCCAGATGGCATACCAGTACCTGTTTAATAAAAGAAAACCAAGAAAACCCCACAACATTAAATACAATTTTGAAAAATAGAATTCAATCTTCCAGTTTAACTTTATATTAGCAGATGAACGACTCATTTTTATAGAGGTTCTAACAGTTTCAATTTAGCCGTTTAGTCAGAAAACACAGCTTATTTTTAAACCTTCACACCTCCCACACAATTCTTACTGTGGAACATACTCAACTAAGCTTTACATATGAAACTAAACACAATACATTCTGTCTTCTTAAGTTTCTCAAGAAGTTGCCAATAATGACAGTTTTTCAATAATAAACCACTAGAAAGACATTCATGACATTCAGATAAATATGTCATTTTTAAACATTTTCTATTTAACTTTGAACTTCCAAAGCAATTCTATACATCATTATAAGAAGAGTTGTTTGTTTTCAGATTATAGCCTGCCTACCCAAACATGTGGTAAAAGACCACAAACTGGAGAACACATGAGCAAAATGCTCGATATTAAACACTTCGAATTTACAGTGTTACGTTTTTCTGATGTCAGCTGAAATATCTTATATAATTAAAGCACTCAACAGTGGGCAGAAAATGTAATGAAGCATACTGAATATTCATCCACTTTGGAATCTTTGAAAACACAGATCATTTAAATAAACACAAGTGAAAAAAGAAACACAAAGTTCATACAAATAAAATTGGTAAGAATAACTGAACCAAATGACTAAAACCAGATTCTCAGCATACAATCCAAATATTGCAGTACAAATCAGCACTCATCATTTCATCTGTGACCATTCTCCTCGGACCTCTGGCATCAACAAACAAAAAAAAATCCCGCAAAGAACTGCAGCTCACTCATATATTTTTCTTCTTTGGTCATTAGGTTGTTGTATGAGAAAATCCCAGTTGACGACCAGCCTGTGTGGCACCAATAGCCATGTCATGTTGAAAGACACTCAGTTATATTTTCTTCCCAATTCAATGTCTAAATGCAGTGAGTTGGTCCAACAACTACCAAACAAAGTTGCCAATGTGTCGATATATAATATAAAATACGTAGAGCTTCATTTTGCAAATCAGCTGACTTCATAAATTTATCTGCTACATAATTGACTCAGGTGTATTTCTACATTTATGCACATTTTATGCATTTATTCAGGTTTTTTTTTTTTTTTTTTACCTTTCCCAACATCAACAAAACTCAAGCTCTCTGGACAGTTTTGCACCATCACCCTGTGATTAAGGCAGATGGGATAGGCACATCTGACGACTCTGTCTTAAACATTTGCTGATATGTATAAAATAAGCCTGGTACATAAAATCTGGCTTTATTCTTGTGTTGATCTACCATGCAGCAGAGAAAACTGGTATCAACCAAGATTAGTTAAGGAACTGAAATCAGTAGTCATTCTTGAAAATGTATTTTGGGTACTGATGCAAACATTAACATTAGGATGTGAGTTAGCAGGAGAAGTGCAGATTTCACCTGCTTGAATCCTCCAACCTGCCCTTGCTACGAGCAACACTGAAAAGAGTTCCATTATCTCTGTGGCATCTTTTACGTACCTTCTGCGGCAATGTTGCCAATTACAGTAAGCATTACCTAAGTACAAAGCTCTTGTTTCCAGGCTGAGACTAACAAGGTTTTTCTCAGGGATCTTCTCCTGCAGTGTAAATTTCATATTTTTGCCTTTGAAAACTGATGAGAAATGCCTCCAAAAGCATGACAAATGCACATCATTCAGGTCTTTCATAACAAGTTTGATTTATGAAGCCTACACAAAGGAGCACAGACTGGAGTAATAAGAATCAAGAGAAATATATAATGTGATTAATACCTAATGTAATGGTAGCAAAACAACCCATTCTAGTGTGAGAATGGGTTGTTTTGCGCCTTGTTCAGATTTATCTTGAAACTCTCTTTTTCCATTTCACAGCTGCAGTAGGGCTGGAGCCTATCCTAGCTGTCAAAGGGCTAACACAGAGGTACAGATAACCATTCACACATATGGCCAGTTTAGAATCACCAGCTAACCTGACATGGATGTCTTTGGACCATGAGTAGAAGCTGGAGTACATGGACAGAACTCACTCGGGCATGGAGGGAACAGGGAATGGCCAAACAGGACAGAAGAAGGCCCAGCCAGCTGGCAATTTCAAAGCAAGGACTCTCATGATGTGAGGTCACAGTGTTAATCATCACACCACTGTGCCACCCAATTGTTCTTGCATGTAAGTCTTTATAACCTGGTCCGCAGTGGGAGACCAGAATGGAGTTATAAGTTATATTATTAGTTTCGTTCAATTAATACACCTCGGTTCCTGACATTCTTAAAGAAAATAACCCTGCTTGACCGCTTAAGAAATTTATGTGCAAAGAAGTGTTGCCCAGGGCAAAAAAGTAGTTTTACATTATTATTCAATTCAATTTTATTCATATGGTGCCAAATCACAACAACAGTTGCCTCAAGGTGCTTTATATTGTGAGATAAAATAATACAGAGAAAACAGTGAAAACCCCAACAATCATATGACCCCCTATGAACAGGCACTATGGCGACAGTGGGAAGGAAAAACTCCCTTTTAACACAAAGAAACCTCCCACAGAACCAGGTTCATGGAGACGTGCCCATCGGCCATGACCGGTTGGGGGTGAGGTTAGGAGGACAGGAGAAAGACATGATATGGAAGAGAGCCAGAGATCAATAATAACTAATGATTAAATGCAGAATGGTTTATAAACCCATAATGAGTGATAAAGGTGAGTGAAGAAAACCAGTGCTGAAACGCATTAAGAAATCAAAAACTGAATCAGTCTAGCTATGTGCATATATTGCATATCTACTGATGATTTATTGATTTCCTTACATGGACATTCTCTGTGTAATGATTTATCTGACAACAGTAAACTCTGATACCATAAATGTATTTTTACCATTACCTAGCTACCTGGGAAAAAGAAACCATTTTTCTGACTGATTAAAGTGATATGATTAGACAGTTAGAGCAGTCAACAATAAAAATGTCCTGACAGCTGTGATATATGTCCAGACTCATCCCGGAGAAAAGCATAGTTTGTGATTTACTGTTGGATGTGTCAGCAACAATTAATAGTTATGAAAAATGTACAAATTTACAACTACAGCAGCAACTTTCCAAATTGGGGATGTTCATGAGGATCGTGTAGGTAATCATATGAAACTCCAGGTATTGCATTAGCTCACATGGAAGACTTCTAATTAAAGCAGATAACTAATTAGACAACTAATACAACTTATATGGGTTTAGTGTCAGGTTCCACTGTGGCAGGGTAGGACCCAAATGAATTAGGCTGCTGGGGGATTCCCATGATGCACTGAGTATTTCTTCTTCAGTCACCTTTCTCACTCACTATGTGTTAATAGACCTCTCTGCA